CACACACACACACACACACACACACACACACACTCACCTACACACACTGTTTTAGATTTAGTTTTTGTAAGAGTTTTACGGCAATTGCAACACATATAGATCATACAAATGCCGAAGATTGAGGTGTTACAAGAGAGTAACAAACACAAAAAAAGATGGAGGGGAGAAAAGGACGATAGATCCTTCATAGCAAAGAAGGAGTAAACCACACCAGAGCACCCGCCAACCAACCCCCAGCAAACTACTTTTAGGGGGTACAAAAATTGACATCAAGACCACATCGGCAGCAGAAGGAAACACCACCAGAGGCAGACCAAACCTTGCAGCTATAATAAGCAGAGATGTCTCTACAGTTATAGAACAAAAGAAACAACGCCGAGTTTCCAGCTCTAGGAACATCCGAGAGCGTGCTGTGTATTCCAACATTTGGCCAGTCAAAGTTTCACATTTCCACAATGGCTTTTAGTAAGAGTCTTACGTGGCACTTGCACGCAATTAGGTCATACAAGTGCCGAAGATTAGTAATAGTAATAATATCACATTAGTATATGCGAGGCAGCGTGGTGAAATCAGGCGCTCGTCAAAATAACGGAATTGGAGAAACAGGCATTTTCCCGCCAGTTTGGAAATTTTCATCGAACTTTTGTTTGTTGGCTTAGCCTTATTAAAGCCCACATAAAACATTTCCATGTGGATTTTTACTGAGAAATCATTGGTTAGAGGCACAAATTATACATTTTTTAGTTTCCAAAGTCTGTCGTTTAGCTATTGGAGTTACCAAACTTCTACAGCCATTTCTCTCGATAATTTCATCACTGAAATCAGGCACCCTCATTTGATTCAGTCGCAAATATCTTGAGTTCTATTCAAGGCAAACGAATCAGCTGTCAGATGATACCAATAACTCCTCATGCCCAAACATTGACGAGCGCCTAATTATTCCACCGCGTCGCAACACATACATGTATATGGCATCTATGTAGCTCTCAACATAATACATGTATCATAGCACTCACGTACACCATAGCTCTTCACACTAACTCACGTAACTGTCCCCGTGGTTTTACGCAAGAAAAATTCTGAAATTATGCAAACTGAGCCCAAAAATGTGAAATTAACTAAATCTGAGCGATTCTGTTCATTTTCACAGAGAATGATAAAGGAAAATAATCAGAAATTATGCCAAAAAAGATCAAATTTTGCTAAATTATGCGGGGTGCATAAAACCACGGGGACAGACGTAAAAACTGCACATAGGTCTAGGATTAATAAAGTAAGTGTATGGATTTAACGTTTTACATAACTGGCTAAACCAGCACCTGGACATGGATGGCTGGTGCCTCTAGAAATAAATTATTTTTTTGTTTTACAGCACTTGCAACACAATAAGGCCATATAAGTGCCGAAGATTAGAGGTGTTACAAGAGGGTAACAAACATAAAAAAGGAGGAAAGATCAGGACGACAGATGTTTGATAGGAAAGAAGAGGCAGACCAAACCAGAGCACCCGCCAACCACCCACTGAAAAACATTTATACAAGGAAGAAACAGCAGTAGCAGTAGCAGTAGTCCAAATGAACATATGAAAAAAAGACAGTTGAAGTGTTCAACATTTTTCCTTCGACTGATGCTGTACCTTCCTCTCTCTT